CACACACACACACACACACACACACACACACACACACACTAAACATGACGACAGCATGCCATGGTGCTGAACTGACCCGTCTGCAGTCACAGATCATAAACATGGATTATACCATTAAAAATATCTACATTTTAGGTTTTGTTCTGACGTTTTAAAAATGATCAAATGTTCCAGCTTCTCTCCAAACCTGCTGAAATTTAAAAATAAAATAATTGTGTTAATTTGGCTGAGTCCTGCAGCCTGAAGTGAACTCTCTGTAAAACTCTGGGACTGTTTAGACAAACAGAAGCAACTTCAGCTTCTTTACTTAAAAAAAAAAACCCTCTGATGCTTCAGATTTACGCTCCACRGGAGACCAACGGCTCCGTTTCACGTTTAGGACCATTTAGTGAGTCGTTAACGAGGCGGTGAGTGGACCGGGACGGCCTCCTGCTCTCATGTTCTCCACTGGTCCAGCTAACACAGATACAGCCACGTGATTGGACGAGGAACAGGAAGTGGCCCGCAGAGGGAAAGGTGGAGGTGAGATGGCYGCTATGGAGTTATTATTAAACTTAGCCTTGAGCTACTTTTAAATTTCACCTTGTGTTTTAGGGTTTTAGGGAGCATTTTACMGCTTTAAGCTAGCATTTTAGCTTATAGCTCCGTTTAGCGCCTAGCTACACCATTTGGACACTTAACATCCAGCCACCTTTTTTATTTTTAGCTGTTTGAAACTTTTAGCTCCTACATTCTCATTTGATTCTTGTACTTTGTAGCCACTCTTTAAATTTTAGCTTTTAACTGTCATTTTATCCTTAAACCTTTTGCTTTTATTTAGCTTCTAACAAATGTTTTGCTAATTGTAGATTCTAGGACGACTTTTGGATGTTTTGAGAAAACTTTAGCTACTTTTAGATTTTAATTTAACTTTTTCTACTTTTGCATTTTGCTTTTTAGCCTTTAGCTAATGTTTTGCTACTTTTAATTAGCTTGCTATTGTAAACTCCTAGCCACCATTTGTTTTACTTTAGCTTTCAGCTAGCTGTTTGTTTCTTTTAGATAATGGTTTGTTACTCAACTAGCATTTGCAATCTTTAGCTTTATGATACTTTTAGCTCTGTTTAGCTTATAGCTATACKCTTCAGACACTTATCATGTAGATATCCTTTCTCAATGTTTAGATTCATGTTTGCTAATTTTAGCTTCCACCTTCTCATTTGACWTTTTTTTATTGTAGCCACCCTTTTGCTAATTTTAGCTTTTAGCTAGTACTTTGCTTTAATATTTTATTACACTTTTTAGCTTTAAAATAAAATTTTTCTACTTAAGCTTTTAGATAGCCGTTTGTTTCTTCTAGCTTTCAMCTAATATATTTAGCTAGACTTTTGCTACGTTGCACACCTTTTGTACTTTTAGCTTTTAYCTAACCTTTTTTAAACTTTGGCTTTCGGCTATTCTTTTGCCTTTTTAGGTAGTTGATTTCTACTTTTAGTTTTAGCTTTTTTCTTGGAGTCCTTTAGCTGCATTTTCACAGAAAATGCTTCAGGTTTAATAACTTCGGCTGCAAAGTGCTAATAAGTCTGGTGTCAGGGTTATTAAATGTCATTTCCTTTAATATATTTTATGCTTTAACTTTGAAAAACTCAAAATTAAAAGTGATATATTTGTGTTTGTATGAATAAAGAATAAAAAATATAGAATGTTTGTGACAAGACTAAAGCTAAAAGCAAACTCCAGGAATCAGCGTTAGCTTTAGCACTCGGCGTGTTTCGGCTACAGCTGCTCAGAGCGAAGCTGTCGCCTCTCYCWGTGTTTTCGTTTGAGTCAGAATCTTCCTGACTGGACGGCTTCARGTCCACATGTTTCTGCTGMCTGAGTTAACAGGAACAGCTTAATTGGGGTTAATTGTTCCAATCCATCCGTGTGTGTGTGTGTGTGTGTGTGTGTGTGTGTGTGTGTGTGTGTGTGTGTGGTAACATGTCAGGCTCTAAAACCCAAAGCCAACGCTCCTTCACTTTCATCTTATTCATACGTTCATGTGAAAACAAACAGCGGGTCTGGAGCGGAGCAGAGTGGGAGGTGACGGAGCAGGGAATGTGGGTCGGAGCGACGGAGAGGCGGATCGGGTTCCTCTCCCTCTGCGGCTCGCGGGACGATCAGAAACGAAGCGCTGAAGCCGGAGCTCTGAGCTCACCTCTCTGGCCGCCGATGAACTCGTCTCTGCAGCTCTGCATCAGCTGCAGGATCCACCTGTGCTGAGCGTCGATGCACTGCCACGCCGGGTCACCTGGGGCGTGCAGGTCCGACATGTACCTGCACCACACGTGACGTTAGTTTCTCAGAAACATGTAAACACACTTTACATGTGCTCCTTCAAAATAAAAGCAAAGTAATCAGAACAGGACACATAAATCAACTAAACTGTTGTCTATAAAAATAAAATCTAAAAAAGGTTCAGATTAGTTTTTTACTTTCTAAATTACAGGATTATGGGATAAGAGGGATAGTCCATAACTGGCTGAATAGTTATTTAACTAACCGTAAACAATTTGTACAACTAGGAAATATAAAATCAGATTTTCAAAGTATAAAATGTGGAGTTCCTCAGGGTTCAGTGTTAGGACCAAAGCTTTTTATTTTGAATATTAATGACATTTGTGAAGTATCWAAACTYCTAAAGTTTATCCTGTTTGCAGATGATACAAATTTGTTTTGTTCTGGGAATGATCTAAAACAGTGGTTCCCAAAGTTGGGGTCGGGACCCAAATTGGGGTCCTGAAACATCAAGGTGGGGTCCTGAAAAAAATTTCTAAATCAATTACATTTTTGCCTTATTTGCCTAAAATATATAAATGTAGAATAATAAATATTGTTACTATGCCCATGTTCAGTTGACCTGATACATTTATCATCCAAAAATAGTCGCAGTGACCTGTGCCCACAACTGTTATTTTGTG